TGATGATGATGATGATGATGATGATGATGATGATGATGATGATGATGTAAAATATTAAGCTGGTGATATTTGGAATATGTGTTAAGATCGACCAACGCCTCCAAGATTCCATTCCTGCCCCCCCCCAAAAAGCGCTCACCACTTGACAAAGGCTCGTTGCGAGACAACGACGTCTCACGCCTGGACTGATCCTTTTGGTCCATCTGACGGAGAGCTTCACTGCGGGAGTCCAGGTCCTCGATGCCAGGTTGACATCAGGTTCTTGGGAAAAGCTTCATGTAGACTCTTAAAGCTTATTTCAATCCCCAGATGAAGAGGTCCTTCAATTCAAATGGAAGGGTTGTAAATCAAGAGTCTACAGTTACTGTCCAAAGTTACGGTAGTTTTGTTCAATTTCTTCGTCCGACTCATCGCCCAAATGGTTGGGAGATCTACCAATGTTGACACCAGTGCCTTGATGTGTTCTTGTGACCGGTTGAAAACCAGCGAAAGGCCTGCTCGGGACTCTTCGTCCGAAGTCCCCGAGTCCGTCACCGGACGTGTCTCAGCCAGCAGTTTCCTGGAAAATAAACAGCAAGTCTCATGTGTCCAGCAAACACCGGTGTTCCCCGGTGTCCCAACGTCACTCCTCCAGTTGCTGAAGCAAGAGATCCACATCTGAGTCCAATCCACCCTGCGAGGGGGGGCAGCGCGGCGAAGCTAACCGATCTCTCCAGGAGACCCCACAAACCTCGATACAAGTTCTGTGGAAGCACAAAGGAACCAAGCGAGCCGGGTGGTGTCCCCTCTTTGGGATTCAGTTGTTCTTTTCTTAGGTGCTCTTGCTTTCATGAAGAGAGGTGGGACTTCGGATGGATCAAAAAAGGGCGCATGTTGCGCAAATTCAAGCAGAGAAGGATATGTGTGTGTGTGGCGGGGTTAAGCATGGCCGTTGGGCACAATCCATCCTTCCTGCCCACCAATCAAGGCTACAAATTCAATGAGTAAGACACAAACTTGAGGCAACAACAATTTTCCAGCTTTGCCATCGAGAAGCTTTTGGTCCCCTAAAACGTCTGAAGAATATCTCTTAAAATCTTATGTCATCTTGTCTCGTATGCCAGCTGAATATAGTATAATATTATATATACATATATTTTTTGTATATAGATTTACTTGCTGCAAATGCCCGTCGTGTTCAAAGCAGCAGATCAATGGCCAGTCCCTTTGGGGCTCCGTTGTTCCGAGGTGTGGGTTCATGGGTTCCGTGCGCAGTTGGACTTGGGCCACGCGGGAGGGCCTAGATACCGTTCGGGCAAATTCAGAAACTCCTCCCAACCAAAACCTCTCATCGACTTATCTCTCAACCTCTATGACTCTATTTCTCTCTATTTCTCTCAGTCCATTTTTCGGGGGGTCCCTCACATCGAATCCTGACCAACGAAGTAAGCCTCCCCTTGCCAAAGATATGGAAGGGGCCACAATCGTTCCTTCTTCCCCATTTCCCCCCATACATCCCCATACCCTGCCTCTCCTGCCTCTGGCCCCTGATTAAAAAAACAAGAGCCCAAAACCGCCCAAAACGACCAGCGCACGTTGACCCAAGTGCCCAAAGGCGTCCATCCACGTCCATCGGACCCTTCGCTTCGCTCGCGACTCGCACGGCCTTCTCACCGCTGGGGCGCCTGGACGAGGTGCGCACGGGACTACATGGAAAGGTCGTCGTTCGACCCATCAAATAACCCATTATTATAGCATCAGTTATAGTACTAGCATCAGTACTAGCATCAATTGCTGCTTCAAGCACGCAAGCATCCAGGAAAACGATCCTCTCAACCATTCTCAACCTCGGCGAGCGCAACACACTACACGCCTCCAAAAAGACACCTAAAAGTGTCAAAAGTCCTGCGATCCAACAGGAACAGGACATGTTTTTGTCGAGCAAATGACAACGGGTGGTTCACGTAAGAAATAAGAACCAATGAACAACCTTACGGTACATATTCTACGAAAACATCGGGCTTCACGGTCTCCTGGCGAGTCCCGACTGATCAGTTGCTTCAGTGATTCAGCACCTGCACAGCTGGTTTGCTCCAAAAAAACAGCTGATCTTCTCACAGCTGCTGTGCTTCTATCAGGCGCCCATCCCTCGTGAACCAACGCGGATCCTTCGCTGGCCCCATCCGTCGTCGCCTCTCTCCATCATCGAGGCGTTGCAGGCGGGCGCCTAGCCAGTCGAGCGGCCATGTGGTTCCGTGGGTGGATTTGGGTTGAACACCGACCCACTCACTCACTGACCCACCCACTCAGGTTCTCTGTCCTTTTCTATGGAATATCACAATGGTCACGTAATATGACAAGAATGCCCAACATGCAAAGAGAAGACCAACCACAATCAGTGATTCAGGGGGAAATTGATGAGTGGAGTTGGTAGGGTTGGCCCACAGAACTCATGACGGTATTTCCTTCTTATCGCAGGCAGTCAATGCATGTCAGCAAAACTTTGTCAGCCATGAGCAACCCGGTCAATTGCCATGGTCTGCCATAAGTGCATGGGATGCAAATCCCATGGTCTCTCCTAGTCCCATGATTGGATTCCTGCAAAATACACCACAAATGGATCGATCTTCGCCCAGGAACGTAACTCTGGATGTAGGGCCATGGTCCCAGCGCCGCCATCAAACTCTCGTGAACCCTGTAGAAATGGTGTCTTTCTTTTGGTGACCTGGTACAGTGAGTTCACAGCAACTGGCCCACCAACCAATCAGTAGTTTGCTTGCAATCTAAAGTGGTCGGACTGGAATCTGGTCCAACCGTGCAGTACCCCGCTTCTCTCAAGCCGCTTCAAACCTTGTGAGCTTCTCTGATTGGACTTCTGATTGTTGGACGAAAACCTCCTTGTTTCATTGGCAAATCCTGAAATTCCAACATTGTGAAGCACCTAGAAACGGCGGCAATCATGGAAGAAATCAGTAACTTTGAGATGCAAGACATGTAGCAGAAACAAACATAGACAACTCGCAATCAACATAGAATGAGGGAATTTGTGGCGTTACATCAAGCCATGCTCCTCCATTCAGCATAAACATGCAAGGACAGCTCTAAAATTGAATCTGGGCTTTGTAAACTGCAGTTTCAGGTTACCAACCAACCAGCAAGCAAACAAGCTTTTGAAGGTCAAAGGGTGGGTACTGTACTATATTGTACCTTCTGTCTGGCAGATCCAAAACAGGTCAGCTGGGCGACAGGCTGGGTTCCCCACCTAAAAAAGCACACATATTCTAACAAAGCGCCCGTCTGCGTTTAAGAAACTAGAGGGGTTGCCAAACAACACCTGGAAATTTTAAAAGACATTTGCGCGTAGGTGACGCAGGACTTCCCAAGGGGTACGCATCATGCAATTTTAGCTAAGAAAACCGTATATAGCACATACTAGCACATATATTATTTCGTAGACCAAGTGTGTGTAGCCTCGTTATTCCGCTAGGTCAAGTTGAATCGAAGCCTTGGCGCTCAAAATCCAGCTGGTCAAAATGCCTCAACCGAACAAGGTCTTGTCAAGTTTGGCTCCAAACGGTTTGACGTTGACAAAGCTGAAACCAGCGTGCTCTTGTGCATCTGTGTGACACCCCATCTGTAGTTGTACATGTGTGCATCTTTTCTATCAAGCAAAGGACCCCGATAAATCCAAACAAGATATGTACCTTGTGCTGGAGATCTTTATATAATTTAATGTAATTTAATGTTTTCTGTGTGTCAGTGTGTGTGTGTTTCGAACATATTGTAGTGTTGCATGAACCACAGACCCAAGTCCCTTCTTCCGACATCTTGCAACACAGCATGAAGCAATGTTCAGTTCTCAGAATACCATAAAAATCCTGCCAGAAAAGGTGCATATCAACGGCTGCTTAAACGAGTTTCATTCTGAAGCGGTGCGTGGGTGTTTGATGTGAAAACACACCAACACGCAGGACGCAGTTGAGACCCATACACATTCCGTGCACCAACTGCACTCGCCGCTCTGTCTTTACCCGCTCCGTCTTCGACGATGCCGCTCTGAAGCAAGAGTCTGATTGACAACGACAGTTTCAGTGACTGGCAAAGCCTCATGGTGATAAGATTTACAATTGATATAAGCGCATCATTGAGATGATGTATGACGATGTAGGTATGGCTCAACAAACAATGAAAATGCTTACATGTTCAAAAGCCTGCAATGTTGTCGTCGACATGGTTGTTTCCATCTGCGCATTATATGGCTGGCAAACACTTCTGTTCCTTATTGTCGGTCCACTGTCTGTCATTGCACGTCAGGCGAGATCGAAGGGCTTGGCCCTTGATCAATAACAGCAACTAACCGCCCGCTGCACCGGCCAAGCGACTTCTTGGATTGATTCACCCATGTTCGTCGGTGGAACCTATCGGTTTTGGGTGGCCGGTGGTGGCTTCTGCAGGGTGTCCAGGACCTTTGCGTCGTGAAGGCTGTAAGCCAGAGGTTTAGAATAAACATGCGTTTGATGCGACTTATTCACTGGTTGTCATGAATGAGAACCCACCATCGGCCATGGAACAAATAGCAGATTGGGTCTCTGAGCTCAGTAAAGTCGGCCTCCAAATCGGCCATCTACTGTGGGCTAGTGACTTAGGACTTAAGGCCTGATACAACAGGCACCAGTCCGCATAGGCTCCACTATGCTGCATTTCTGTGGAATTCCTATCCAAAACGCTCATGTCTTAGGTCTTATTCATTTTTTCAACAAATCCTATGTCATTCGTGGGTAAACACACTGCCAAGCATGTGGGGCACTTTATCCATCGCTACCACCTCTCCCCCCAAAAAGAACAAACAAGGGCAAGGATTCATACCTTGGTCCACAACGTTACCCCAAACAACTATGCATGACATAGCCACCGGCTCAGCCACCTTTTCCGTCTTCAATCCTGCTCTTCGCCCTCTCTGTCACCGCCAGGACCAGTGCTGCCGGCGTTTTCACTCACGACCTCATTGTCGCTTCGGTCACGTGTTTGGACGCAAACCCCAAAATGGCTTGGAAAGGAATGGCCATTGCCGCCATTCGCCAAAATTTGGGTTTGAGTCAAAAGGTTTGAGGGTATTGGTTGAAATGTATTTCTCAATGTCTTTCCAAGGCATGGACTGTACAGTGTATATACTGTATGACTGTATACCGTATACCCATATCCTTGGGGGAGCACTCAGGAAATCTGGTGGTAGAACTCATTACCACCAGCCTCTGCAGGATGATGTGTACTGAATTCAATTCAATCATTGCATGGTTAGAACTTGACCAGAAGAGCAAACAAAGCTCCCTCTTTCTACCTTTTATTCTGCACTTAAAACTTAAAACCAAGGAAAGGGGGACAGTATGTGGACGAGTCGTGACAATACCTAAACTCAGATGTGTTTTCACAGGACTGCTTCAATAAGACTCGGAAAACAGCAGTGCACCTGGGATACCTTGGTACCTGTCAACTCCGCTCTCTCCAGCGATCTCAACAGTCTCAGCTCCAAGCTTGTGCAGTGAAGGTTCACTCTGTGACTCCTATGCGCGGCGGCGTGAAGCGCATGAATGAGATGTTCAAGACTTGGCTTTGGAAAAGATCCACATTGTTTCAACATCAGGGGAGCAATAGGGGACCACTTCTGCACTTTGAACATCACATCAAGCTTCCGTATTTGTTGTCTACTCTTCTACACTTGCGCCCTAGAGGAGATCGATCGATCTATCTATCCATATCTATCTGCAGCACGTATCTATGCGTATTTATATATCTATATAATATTAAGTAAAGATATGCTTTAGCCTCGACTTATAATACCTGGGCTATAGCACGCCCAGCTTCCGCAGAACTGGCTACCTACATGCCCAACGCTGCGTTTCGCCCCACTTTCCATGGATCTGAAGACTTCTCATCTCTTTGCCGACTTCATCAGTTGCCCAAAGCTGCAGCTCCCACGTTCTGGCTCATGGAACCCTGGGAACGTAACTAGCCGTTCTCAACCAGCCCCAGCGATCAGAGTTCATAGACATTCATAGATCACCTTTGCAATGCTTCACATCCACCCACCAGGTGACACCCACAACCTCCCTTTGATCCTCCCCTTTGGACAAGGGGCGACCTGCCAGTACTCCGCCGCTCGGTGCGACGTCGCGCGGAGCGGAAGAGCGGCGTGTTCCGTGCCACGGTGCCTGCATCGTTTTTCCAGGCGCCAGGATGCCCAAGGAGGCCACTGCAGCCAACCGTTGGTCCGGTTGAGTACTCAGTTGACGCGATGGCGAGGAGGCAGGCGAGGCGACGGCGACGCGCAGGCGCGCAAGGGCTTCGAGGAGGGCGAAGGGGGCTTATAGGAGCTTGAAGGTGCAAAGAATGGGTCAATTCGCTTGAAGAACATGTCTGTAATCGTTTTTGGGTCAAAGCAAAACCGTTTTTGAGAACTCTCATCAGCTCTCTTTTTGAGGTGTCTTGGTATTCTGAGATAGTGAGGGTCATAGGGAGGGAGGTGTCTAGACATCATTGGCAAGGCTTCAAGAATACTTCGGCCAGACCCACCCAAGCTTCTGCGTTTGTGTGCTAGCTGGCTGACTCCCGATTATCATGCAATCAGTCTTCAAAATACAAAACCTGGTGCCGGTGAAACCTTTTCCAAAGTAGCTAAAGGTGACCGTACCAAATCTTGCTCTTGAGCTAAGGCATCAAAAGAACTCCCAAAAGATATAACAAGTGAATAGCAATGAATCTGCCAAATGTTTTTGGAAATGGTCTATTATATATATATATATATCTCCCCAGTGGATCCTACCGCCTCCGGTAGCTATCCACAGGTTCCGAGGACTAAAACATGAGATTGTCCCAAGTCCTGGTTCCAGGACTATTATAAATATCTTCAAGTCCCCGCCAAAAAGAACGCCCGTCGCAGGTCGTTTTCTTTGGGAACTATACTCATAAGTAGCTATAGGGTATAGTCACATTCCTACTACTCATCTAATATCTAATGAGTCACAACAAATCATCTACTTGGACAAGAATGGACTGGTCCGATTTCCACACAAAACCCTCTCAAAACTGAAAAAAAGAAACACGCAGTGTTCGCCTTCGGTGTTTCGGTCACACTCCAAGGTGGTGTGATGATGTGTGATGTGGTGTGCCCCACGCAGAACATCCATCGGTACCACCGATCCTCCGAGGCACAACTGACGGCCGAAGACCGGCCGCACGGGGCGTCCGAACTGCCGCCCGCGGTTCCTGGCGCACCGGGGCGCACCGGGGCGCAAAGCAACGACGGACTGGTCAGAGGCCAGGTCAGGAGGTCAGGAGTCCGGGTGGGGAAGCTGGAAGACCATGGAGCAGTGGTTTGGGATGGTTTGAGCATGTTTTGGGCATTTGGAATCCTTTTGGCTGTGGATCAAAACCTAGATACCTTGGTTGAGCTATACCTGCATTGCATGGTCAGGCTTCAGGTTTTGACCCATCCGCTTTTTTAGGTGTTTTCTCAGAACACTGGGAGGGATCGCGTCATGGATGTGGGAGCAGTTCCAGCAGCAGTTGGAGGGTTGTAAGAGGTTGTAGTGGAGCTGAACAGCGAAGCGAGCAAACCATGACCATAACTTTCCCACTGTGATACATATACACAACATTCGCACACCATGTGAAACAGTTGCTGGCTTTGAGATCCTTTTCTTGATGTGAGATATAGGGAGCACCATCGGTTCCAGAAACTGACTCTTCAAGGTCTATGAAGTGAGGAAGACCAAGCGAAACGTGGTGATCGCCATTGTTTCCTCTTTCGACGATCACCACGTTTCGCTTAGTCCCTGTCGAAGTCGGTTCACGGATTCTCCAGGATGTACGGATTTTCAGAGATGTTCGGATCTAGACCGAAAGCGCAGCACGGTCCGAAGAGCACGGATGTTCGGGTCCGATGTTCGGGTTGCGCACAGGGAGAAATCCTCGGAGCCCGAAAGCGCACGACCGAACAACATCTAGGCTTTCGATCTCCGCACCTCTCCAGCTGTTGCACAAGACAGGACTACCGTCGTCTTGTGGAAGGTTTTGTGGCAGGTCTCATTATTCACTACACCAATCTGGCAAGCAGCAGCTGCACACCACCTGCTTGGCAAACGACTATATAGACTATAACTGCCAGTTTCTGCCAGTTTCCCTAGCCTCACCTGCTCAGCTCAGAGGTCACCTGCTCAGCTCAGAGGTCGTGCCCTCCCCTCTCCTGAAGGAGGACTCAATGCCATCGGCATCGAAGTAGTGCCTCACCGCTCGCTCGCGTCGCCCGGTGAGTGAGTCGAAGACCATCCACTCCGGTCGTCCGGAGTCGGTCGAGTCGGTCCGCGGAAGGTTGGCCAAGAGGATTTTGTTTGAGTTTGACCCCAGATCTTGAATTCTTCAATTTCTCCAATTCGATCTATGTTGGTGGGACATACAATACATCAATGAGTTGGGTTTGTGCCAGTGACCACCAGTGAGCTCTTAGAACTATCGACCCGTGCCCACTTTGTGACGCAAGAAGGTTTGAAGGATCAATAAAGAACTTGGAAGTAGGCTTTTAAACACGAATTGTAAAACACACACTAAATGTGTGGTCGATCCGTGTCTAAGCAGTGTAGGCTGTTTTGTTCTGGGGAGGGTAAACAGATTGATATTCGGAGAGTAGCTCTCCATATTCCTTGATGCAGGTGTCTTATGTGCTCCAAACACATGGTACAGTAACATCGTCACATCTTGCAAATTACACATAATACTGTAGTTAGTTGCTTTACATGTATTGCGAATACCTGGGCTGGAGCCATAGCACAGCAGTGTGTCCATGCATGGGGAATGGGAATACTTCCGGATCCCTCCTTGTGGTCCTCGTTCCGTGTCAAGGAAACATGTGCAAACAAAAGGTTGTTTTGGGGTGCTTAGCATTCAGTGATGATGGACCTAAGCTTTTGGGCATTCTTTTATGGCATGTCTTAGAATAGAGAGAGACTCCTCCAAAAGATGGCTGGGAAGCTCCCCCATTCATTCTACTCATCTCACGTCGATTGTCGTTTGAATTCCTCACCTGGACCGCAAGTGATTTCACCACTGAGCATCCGGACCGCAGAAGAGGATTCATCGCAGGGTTATCTTCAGATTCACTGCACGGTCGGCACGGTCGAGCGAAGGGAAGACCGGTGACCGGTCATGTTCCACATCAGGGAAGGTCATTTCACCGACTGTTGCCCAATTCAGCACATATTGATTGGACATGATTGGAATGGGGCTACTACTCAACTAGTAACTAGGTTTGGTTCTCCTGCACCATCCCAAAACTGCAGAAGCTACTATCCGCGGTCTACACATTTGATGATATTAAAACAGCCATTCGTGGCAGCCGCGGTGCCTTTATTCTCTAAAGCACACTGGTTAATACAGCCATCCGTCGAGGGCGACAATCATTGAGATGTCAGTTTGTTTGTTTGATATAAAGGACAAAGAAGGAATGTTCACCAAGTCAGGGACGATCACTCGTTGTGAGAAGAACTTGCAGCCCCTGCACCAGCTTCCAGCAGGACTGCGCTGCAAGGACATGAACGAGAAAACATGAAAAACTCCACCTGGGATCTGTACCATCTTTCGTTTGTCCTGGATGCCGCTGGATCAAACACCCATCTGACTTGGGATACCCTGCAAACTCTATTGGAAGATATTGGAAGGCATGGTCAAGACTTAACTGATATATCTTTGATTTGGGGGTCGGCCCAGGCCTGGTTGATTCCCTGAACGCGCAATGCAACAAACCGCTCTTGCTGGTTGACCATTCGGCCTCCTCTTTCATCCGCCGCCCAAGGTCGTCGACCCACGACGTACCGTTTTCAGCCAAGGGGGGTCGTCAACCCACGGGCAGCCTGCGATTATGGTCGTAGACCCACGGGATCTTGTGTGTCTTCGGCAGGTAATGGTGAGCCTAACGAAGCAAACGTGAAGCGGTGAGTCGCTGCATGGAGCTGGAGTTGTTCAGATCTCCGTGGCGGTGTGGAGAAACCTTGGTGTATTCATCAAAAGTCTATAGTCTAGATCAGGTGTTCAAAATCTATAAATAAATAAGTACGAGTTACGATGCAATAATTATGTGTAATGTCTCTTGCATTGAATGGGATGTGCAAACAAAATCTTTTCTGACTCTCCTTTCCTATCTCGGATTTTCGCTTCACCCAGTTTCTATCTGTCTCAAACTGAGCCTTGAAGTCACCGCCATAGCGCAGGCACCTGCGCCCAAGATCATTCTAGTCCGCTCGACCATAAACATGCTTGCTGGGTTTGGTAGGCACAAGTCCGACAATGCTCTTTAGAACTAAAAATGCTGAAAAGAATCGGACATGAAATATGGAGGTGCATGGAGGTTTCAGATTCCTGGATTCCTTTGTCCAAATGGTGTTCACATGTTTCATCTGTTTTCACAATGGTCTCACTCGACTCTACGAGGTCAGAACCATCTTCGCCCTTCCGCTGCTTCCGCTCGCCTCACACCCCAAGGGATGCTCTTCGCTGGAGCACCTGGGTCTGGCGGCTTGGGCGCCATGGTCGCGCGGTTGATGATCTTCTTCTTCAAGGTCCTGTGCAGTCGAAAGGAAGAACTGTGAGGTCTTCAGCAGTCCATAGTAGTCCCACCAAAATCGACCTACAGCAGCCATCTATTGAGCCTCAAGAGATGGCTTTTCCTGATGAACTCAAGATCTTCTCCCATAAGAAGGCGTCTTTGGGGCGTTCTTAATGCAAGGTGCGTACTTGGAGGCCAGTCTGAGTCCATTGTGGCGTAACTAGACACAAAACACCACCAAAAACCGTGCCAGGGTCGAAGATCCACACAACCAGAAACTCTTCAGAGCTATTCTCTTCCGCTACCTTACCTCGGGTAACATCCCATTGAATGGTATGTCTCACCAAAACGATCCCATGTTTCACTGGTTTGCGGAGTTTGCTCTGCCAATACGTACGTTGGTAACGCTCCTCACGTGTTTTTCCCTACTCCTCGAGGACACACGCGCGCACACACATACACACACGGTGATTCCTAAGACACCTGGGTATGTATATATAATTGTGTCAACTGTTGTCGTTTTGTGAAACTCAACAATGATTATGGAATTTCTGTCGCTTGATGTAGTTTTAAATACGTAGTCGTTGTCTGAAAAACAATGACAATAATTAACTGATGCTTCATGGGTTTGCATGTCACTTTGGATCATCACTTTGGATGATCAGGTAATTATGCTGGCTACCCCAAGAAGTACGTGTTCTTCTAAGCAACCAACAAACGACATACCAAACGACCAAGGAAGATAACATAAGATAACCAAATATATACACTAAAGAAGTCTGGCCAAATGGGCAAAAGCTGGAAAATCCGTTGGACTCTTCCGACATTCTCCGCCTCACCCTCTGTCACCCCTCCTGGCCGACGGCCGCTGCGGCGTCCGCGGCGGGATGGTCTGCAGCCATGGATGGTCCGCCGTGGGGCGCTGGCGATAGGAAGACTCAGCCGCCGCACACGGTCGGCCGCCAACGGGCACGAAACGGGCGGCGACCGGCTTTCGCGAGAAACACGGTTTCAAGCGGACGAACGGGGACTGCTGTGGATCAAATGGGTGGAAAGGGTGTGGCAATAGGGTGGTGGGGTGTGGGGTGAGATCGGGTGGTGTGTGGGGTTTTCGATGGGGTGGGGTGGTGCGGACCTGCCGTTGGTATCGCAGGAGTCCGTTTGCTACAGCGTACAGTAAATGAAACAAAAAAACCGATCTAAGTTGAGGTGTGAAGGTCATGAATGGTTGTCAGGCTGACTTGTCCCCAGAATGGGAGTTGCTCCAAGTAGAGCTACCTGCGGCACAACTTGTCCTGTGCTGGTCGAAAGTGGAGATGCTTGGATCTTGGTTGGTGTGGATTGGCCATGGCTCTGGATCACCCAACCTAATAGGTCCACCACCTTACTTCATGGTACAGGTGCGAGGTGGCATGTTGCTCATGCTGGCATGATTTTTGGTTTCTTGGATCTGTGGACGCACTGTTCTTTCTGTTCTTTGCTTGCACGGTGCTCTTGATGGGCAAACCCTCGCACAGTCGATTGGGACAAGTCCCACTGTACATCCTGGACGTGCAACGGCATGGGGAGCCGTTTAGCTTTATTCACATTAGCTCACTAGTCGTTGCAATGCCCGGCACTTGGCAATTCATAAAAGGTGGGTACTGGAAGAGAAGCCTTATAGCATATGTCGGAGTTCCACAAAGTGTTCACAGTTGTACGGCGGCTTGGACACTGCGAATGGTGAGTTAGTGGAATATCTCTATAAAATCCGTATAATATAGGCTATAGCATACCCTCTGAATTGCTGGAGGAAATCTCAGACCAACGTTATCTGGTGAGCCATTTTCTCGGTTGTTGCAAAGGAAACGAGCGCCTGACCTCAATGCCACGATGATCGAAGTAATGCCTCAAGAAAGAAGTGGACGGCTTCACGCAAAGGTGAACACAAAGTCGTCTGTGGTTTCGCGTTGGAATGCCCGTGGCAAAAAAGTTGGATTCTGGATGTTTACTTAACAGAATGAGGTTGGATGACCTCAAAAGCAAATCTAAAAAGCATCTGGTTCAAGCTTCCAACATCTAACCTCAATTAAGAACATGCATAATTTTGTAATTTTATAATACATATCGCCGGCATCGTTCTCCCCCCTCCCTGGCCCCCGGCCCGCCTGAGCAAGGGGTGCAGCGAATCGTTGTCGCTGGAGCCGGTTTGAGACCAGCAGTCCAACCAGCCAGTGCCATAGAGCTTGGAGCGAGAGCGTTTGGCATTTGGTGGAACGATGTGGAATAAATAAGACATCGGATGGACCGAACATCAGGCGATATCAGGCGTTTCTGCCACACGGTGAACAATTCTGCACCATTTCTTTGCAGCATGCAGGATCTCAGTCTTTAGTTATTCACAGTCTGATTCACGTGAGCTCCTCGACTTGGTGCCGGTCTTGGGCCCCGCTGAGTGTCCGACCAAAGCTTCGAAGCGATCGTCTTCTTCAAAGCGAGGCTCAGCGGATGATCCGGTGGGGCCGGTTTGCCAGGGAAGTGTGCCGGGAGATGCCTCCATGATGGAAACTGGGGATGCGGATGCTTTCAGGTAACATCAAAATGACCGTTTATTTAGATCAGAAAAGGCGAACCTCTATAATGAAAATATAAGAATATGTGGAAATTATGTAGAAATCTTAGAACATCTGGAGAACATCTCAGGGGAGTAACTGACTTGGTTCCTGATGATGACTCTTGTCGTTTCAGCTCGCAACCTGAAACCACACTGTCACTTGCTCCTCGTGTCGCTCGGTGTTTCGTTGTTAGACAGGTGGGTGGCGTTGCATCAAACGAAAGGTTTGAGTTCCTGGAAGATTGTGGCATGTTTCCGATATGTTCAGAATACCAAAGAGGTGGTTCTCCACGTCAATGATGATTCGAGGGAGTGTATAAATCTACATGTTTTTCCAAAATGAGTTCTGGCCATCCGAGCTGGAGTTGTCCCCAGCGCTAACCCTTTATCAATCTGCTTCATGCTAGAAAATAGGCAACATGTGGTCTTGCGGAGCACCCACCCCCAAGGTTGTTGCAGCTACAATCACACTCACTGACCGAGGGCTCACGTGAAATCTCACAGGGCGCCCGCTGTCTTGATGAGGGAGCGATTTCGTCGCTGGTCAGAACATGCGAAATGCTCAAAGATCAAACTACTCCAGTCGCAGGAAGTTTTAGATGCTCAAGTATCCGTCAGCCCATACCATACCGCCTATAGTATCTTACCTGCAAACGTAGTTGGTGATTGATCCGTTTATATAGTGGGATCCTAAGACCTCTGCAGGTAAAGACAAATGGTCAGTGGGCAACACTATAAAAGGTTGACAGTGACTTCAACATAGAATCAAATATAACACAAAATAATACAACATAATCAAGTAGTTTGAAGTATTTTTAGGTTTCACTCCTGGGATGGGACCATCTATCAAGCTGTCAAATTTTACCGAAAATCAAACAGCTAACAGCATCAAGTGTGGAACATTGTGTGTCAAATCCCAGTTCTATTTCAGGCTTCCCTCAGCTTTGGACGTTCACTTCCTTCTTCTTCATGTCCGGACGCACGGGCTGGCGCATGCAGAATGCAGCATGTTGACATGAACAGGCGTACGTACTTCGGATGGTCCATCAGCAGATTCGTCAGTATGGAATCCTTGGAGACGAACAAGAAACAACGTTCGACGAAACCCGTCTCGTTGAAATACCGCTCATTTCACCCGCCAAGCAGGAGGTCACCTTACGAATGGGACACAAAGGAGTCGAAACAATGTAAAGACTGGCACATCTATGATGTAGTTTTTTTTGTTCCTTTTTTCCCTCTTTGTTGATGCCTACTATTCGGGCCACTGGCGACAAAGGACGCCCTCACCAATATTCACCGTAAGATTGACATGATAGTTACATAATAAAATGTTTCCAAGAAAAACACCTAAGGAGCGGCGACTTAAGCGACCAACCCAACGTAACACCGGACCCTTTTCCGAACGGATGGTACCCGAAATACGCTCCGCCACCTCGACCGGTGCCCGGATTTCTGCCGGCACAGCATCGAAATACCTCCGACAATCGGATTGCGTGGGCAGGGTGGAGAGTGGTGTTCGGAAGATCTGTTTTCCGGGACCTTCCGAACCACACAAAAACACAACACTCAAAGTTTGACGTGGAGCCACCTTGCTTCCTCTGCAAAGCCACCTTGCTTCCTCTGCAATGCTCCAAGCAGTGGTTTGGACATGTTTAGACCCTAGTCCCCTTCAAGGCATATCCCCCCTGGCCAACAAAAACCAGTCACTCCTGAGACCGAAAGGGCTTTGGCACCAGGTTGAGTTTTTTAGAAGCATTCAAACGAAAGGAATTTTAAAGTTTCTGGAGACAATTACCAAGTAGAGGGACACAGTGCACCAGGCAGCAGTTTTGATTCCGCACCACTTTGCAAGTGCAGGGGAAGCCCACGAAGTCTTTCACAGTCCGAATTTTTGGAGACCTCGCGAATGAACCATGATTCATGAGGGAACTACCATGAACTACACTTCAGAAGAATGAACATGGCCCTCGACACTAGATGACAGGGGGGCCCGAAAGCACAGCAGGAGATGACAGAAGGTAGCGATGAGCAGGCAGCAGGATGATTGTATCATTGTATCGAAGATGAAGTCGATGATGATGATGATGATGATGATGATGGTGGTGATGGTGATGATGACTCGTCAATGGTGGAGCTCCGTCCGCCACAGGCTAGCTGCAAACACGTGACACTGGACCACCGACCATCCCTCTCACCAGCCTGGCTTGCGCCATCATGTTTCCCTTGCTCCAGTGGCACGGGCTCGCGCAAACATTTCCACCAAGGCTGCGCCAATCCGCATGGCACAGCGACATCATGAACGTATTCTCACTGGACCGTGTGTAACAGACTAGGTTTGAACACACGACACCGCACCGCCAACAGCCATCATGCAAGCTTCCCTTCCCCCAATGGCACGGACTCGCGCAGAAGCATTTTCCACCAAGGCCATTCCACATGGCAATCATCCAGCTCACCAGCGACGCGCCGACCTTGTTCCTTGAGCGCTGTCCGAGCCTGGGACGGCGTGTGTGTGTGTGTGTGTGTGTGTGTCAAACCCTGTTCCTAAGGGTTCTGAGAAAACCAATGTCAGAGTGTCACACTCTGTATCGTAGTGTTTCCTTCTTTTGTTCCAGCAGGGGGCTCACGCGTCTGTTCCTGGCGTGAGCCAACGAAGCTCCAGGTTCAGACTAGGATATCGAAAGAGGACGCTCTTTCGACGTACCTGCCAACAACTGTTGCTCACGCTGTCCACTCCTTTGGTTTGATTCATGGTTTTTTCATGTGATCCTTCCCCCAAACAGGTTTCCCACCGCAGTTTTCAGCCGCTTGTGAGTTGCAGCCAGCCGTGCGGGTGAAACATTTTTTCAACACTTCAAGTGACCTGAGTCATTCGCCTTGCTGTTCCATCACCTTCCTTCTCAACTTGGGAACCGAGTTAACAGCAAACCAATGTCAGAGTGTGAACCGCTCAGCCGTCCCACTTGGGAGCTGGGTGTGATCCTCCGCAAGGAGGCGCTGCAATCATTCCGAAATTCGTGTTACTGATTCTTCGTTTCCACCACTCGTTGGATTTTCTTAACCGACTTTGTTTCACTACTGAATTGTCTGAACAAAGAGCCGCCGGGCTTTCACGGTGAACAACCATAGCCGCCGGGCTAAAAAACGGAATTCCACTTGAGGTCAGGCATGTTTCCCACAACCCTTCCCCCCCCCCCGGCCGAGTTCTACTCCCCACCTAATTAGGGCAACGCAGGGAAATGGTACTCGACACACTTGTGTGTCGGTGCCTTTCCCTTTGTTGTTCCTGTTCTAGTCTTCTCTACCCGGGCGGTCTAAGACTAAAGTCCCGCCCCCTAACTATTGCATTTAATTCGCCTCGGCTAAGTAGTCAGTAACTCTAGAGTGCTAAGTAGTCATACACACACACACACACACGGACACACACACATGCTACAAACACTCCCTCCCCCCCCCTTTCTTTCTTACGCTTTCAGTCGTTTCTTGGGCTTTCTCTCAGGCTTTTCAGGTTGTTCTTGAGGCTCGTTTCCCTGCCCCAGTCAAGGGCTAAGTATCCACCTTTTTTCTACTCCTATCTTTCTCTTGCCCTCTTAGCGCTGCTCTTTCTGTGTTTCTTTCTTTTGTTTCTAAGGCTTTTTAGGTATCTATTCAGGTTCACCGCGAGAGCGCCGCAAAGCGGCACCGTGTGTGTGTCAAACCCTGTCCCTAAGGGTTCTGAGAAAACCAATGTCAGAGTGTCACACTCTGTATCTAAGTGTTTCCTTGTTTTGTTCCAGCAGGGGGCTCACGGGTCTGTTCCTGGCGTGAGCCAACGAAGCTCCAGGTTCAGACTAGGATATCGAAAGAGGACGCTCTTTCGACGCACCTGCCAACAACTGTTGCCCACGCTGTCCACTCCTTTGGTTTGATTCATGTTTTTTTCATGTGATCCTTCCCCCAAACAGGTTTCCCACCGCAGTTTTCAGCCGCTTGTGAGTTGCAGCCAGCCGTGCGAGTGAAACATTTTTTCAACACTTCAAGTGACCTGAGTCATTCGCCTTGCTGTTCCATCACCTTCCTTCTCAACTTGGGAACTGAGTTAACAGCAAACCAATGTCAGAGTGTGCCCCGCTACCAATCTTGGAGAAAACGACCTTAGCGCTCCCACAACGTGCGCTGGCATTCTTGCAGCCCATCGAGCTCCAGCTTGCGTTCCGCGATCTCCTTGCCAGTAACGCAACGATTCTTCACGCTACTTCTTCCACTCCCTCTGGATATTCGGCTAGCCTCATCCACAAACCAAACGTCCGTCATCTTTGTCACCAATGCCCCAATGTACTTTGCCGACGTTGGCGCCTGGTTGAGCTGGCGCTGCTCCACGCCAATCTGGCCCTGCCAGGTCACAGGGAACGCTAAGACTGCCAGGGAACGAGGATCAGCGAACAACAGTTTCTTCCCCTCGTCGAAGGCCACCTTCTTAGACAGGCCATGGTTTGCCAAACAATCACAGCGCCGAACCTGAGTGAGGTGACTGGAAGATAAAGGTTTCGGGCGCCACAACTCCCAGTCCGTGGTACCTAAACGGCACGGGCTGCTAAAGCAGACCGTGCAACATGGCATGATATAGGCGATTCTATTTGGATTTGCCTCGGCCAGCTCAAAGTCCAAACAGCGGCAACCTTGCCCGACTGCACCCCCAGGTTCACGAACAGCGCCACTTCCAAGCAGTGAACGTCAAACAAACGCACGCCGCGACTGGACAAGGGGTCAAGGCTGGAAAGGACAAAGGCGTCACCCGGTCGCCGCTGAGCTAGCCTCAGCAACTCTGCTCTTTCAGGAAAATTCTCTGCACTCCGATAAGCTCATCAGGTTGTGGGTTTAAGCTTTTAGTTGCCGGGGCTTCGTGGGCCATGTTGGTGTGGGTCCTGAACATTCTTTTTCAGCCGCTTCAGAATTTGACATGTTCTGCGCAATGGATCAGCCAGGCAGCTCCCTGCGAACATCTGTCTTGAAGACCTCGCGCAGGCTTGCTGAATGCTCGAGTAGCATGGCAAGGCCCCCAAGTCTTCCTTCATGTGGATGGACCAACCAAAATCTTGGTGTTGACCACCAAAAATCTTTGTGTTGGAGGCTCCAAGTGGCACGCATGTAGTTATTTAAATATATATATACCTATAAATTAAAGCAAAAGCAATATATGTATATATATATATATGTAGATAACGCCAAGTTTAAACTTAAGACAGTGATCAAGTACTCTGCTTCCACTGTCTTAACCTTCTTCCTCATCTCCATGCCCAGCATGCCAGTCAAGATTCTCTGACGCGAATCTATGATCGTTCGATTGAGTTACACATGTGTGCGCACCCGAGCCCCCCATAAAAGTACACACATGCGTGCGCAAGACAATACACACGCCAGCATCTTGCCAACCCCCCAGAACCCCCTTGAGATGCACATGTGCGCAAGCATCCTACCCACCCCCCGAACCCCCCGTTGAGATACACATGGGTGCGCGCGCAATGACAACACGCTGCAAGCGCGTCTGGCCCACCCCCTAACCCCCCCTTTGAGATACACATGCAGATTCTCAGATGCGCGAAGAATTCCAAATTCCACTGTCTTCTAAGTGTTCGATGTAAAAAACGACGAAGCACAGCACCAAAAAATGGGCGCGTAAAGTTTCTATCATATCATGGAAAACACCGATAAATGCACATAAAGGTAGACATGATGCATTTCGGTGCGCCACTGTCTTAAGTCAACCTGGATATATGTATGTATATATATATGTATATTACCTGTGCATCTACAGTTAAGAAAACCAGGGAAGTGTACATTGCACAAGCAAAATTCGAACTTCCATACCCAAGAAAGAGTAGTGTGGTGTTTCTGAAATCTTGTTGCCATGCACCACCGCATGACTAAGTCAACTAAACTCGGCGAGCGGTCATGCAAAAGCTTGTCCCCACAAAGCGCAACGCGTTCTGAAACCCTGGGAGTTCTGGAGCCCTCGGCCATCTGTTCCAGCGTCCTTGGCGGCTTTCCGCTATGCAATCAAGGCATGCCAACCGTGACACTCTTTGGGGCTGTTCTGACTCCACTTCGCCCAGCCGCCCTTGCCACTTGACATCCATTTTCCCCACCTGTCAGTTTGCTAGATTCTATGTCAGCGCTGCCTTGCTCCTCTCCTCCTCCTCCTCGTCCTCCCCCTCCTCAACCGCGAGTGTCGGATGGCAGTGTTCCTCGCCGGACCTCAACCGCCAGCTCTGGATGGCAGCGTTCCCCGCCGGACCAAAACCGCCAGCTCCGGATGGCAGTGTTCCCCGCCGGAACTCAACGGCCAGCACCGCCCGGCAGTGTTCCCCGCCGGACCTCAACCCAAGATGCGTCAAAAAGAATGACAAAAATAATGTCAGAAGATATGCCGGAAAAATGTCCGAAATAAAATCAAAAAATGTCAGAACATACGCCAGAGAGAATTTCAAAAGATATGCCAGACAGAATGTCAAACGATATGCCAGACAGAACGTCAGAAGATATGCCAGAAAGAATGTCAGAAAGAATGTCAGCAGATATGCCAGATAGAATGCCAGAATGAATGTCACAAGAGATGCCAGAAAGAATGTCAGAAGGTCTGCCAAATAAAATGTCAGAAGATATGCTAGAAAGCATGTCAGAAAAGATGCCAGAAAGAATGTCAGAAAGAGCGTCAGAAGACATGACAGAAAGAATGCCAGCGGGTATGCCAGATAGGAATGAATGCAAAAAGATATGCCAGAAAAATGTCAGAAACAATGTCAGAAGATATGCCAGAAAGAATGTCAGAAGATATGCCAGAAAGAATGTCAGAAGATATGCCAGAAGGAATGTCAGCAAATATGACAGATAGAAAGAATGCCAGAATGTGAATGTCACAAGAGATGCCAGAAAGAATGTCAACAGATATGCCGGAAATAATGTCAGAAAGAATGTCATAAGAGATGGCAGAAAGAATGTCAAGAGATATGCCAGAACGAATGCCGAAATAATGTTTCAATACATGCCAGAAATTTTGTCAGATTGAAGTGTCATGGTGGGGATCACTCGAAGTTCAGCAATTTGTGCTCAACTCTGGCTCGGTTCTGTGTGGTTCGGCTTCTCGCCCGTAGCCACCATGTCAAGGCGAGGTGATCAGCATACTCACTCACCAGCCGACGACTTCATGGAAAGATTGCAGGGTTAAAGCGAGTGAAGCTACATTCAAGCGCTTACGCCATCATGACGGACACACGCAACATCCGCATGGCACAGCGTCATCACAAACGTCACTTCGCCACGCCGTGTGCCCTAACTAGATACAGCAATGCAACACCAAGCCTCGTTGACACCGCAACAGTCATCCCGCTCCCCAGCAACATCCAGAAGCTGCGGTTTGCACTACAAAGTGGCCAGTTCTGAGGCCACAGCTCCCAGAAGCTGCTTCCCATCTACGTTTGTACTACAAAGTTGCCAGTTCTGAGGCCACAGCTCCCAGAAGCTTTTTGAATTTAGGTGACCGGTGTGTCAGGAGCACCTGTATGCTGCTGCTGCTGATGATGATGACGACGATGATGATGATGGTGGTGATGATGATGACGACGATGATGATGATTAGACTGATGATGATGATGATGATGATGATGATGATGATGATGATGATGATG